TGGGATTCCCCTCTGTATGCTGTGAATATCATTGGTTAATAAAGAAATCTGCCTTGGCCTGTGACAGGGTAGAGTTAGGCAGGAAAAACTAAGCTGAATGTTGGCAGAAAGAAGGCGGAGTCAATAAGAAGCCATGTAGTCCCGCCAGAGAGAGACATTGGACAGAACCTTGCCAGTAAGCCACAGCCACATGGTGATACACAAAATAGTGGAAATGGGTTAAATTAAGATGTATGAGCAAGCCAATAAGAAATTAGTGCTAATAGGCCAACCTGTGATCTAATTAATACAGTTTCTGTGTGGTTATTTTGGGCCTACGCGGTTGAGGACAAACAGGCAGCCTTCTACAACAGTGTACAGTCTGTGAATTCATTTGTGTGTGTGTGCCATGTGTGTTGCACAAGTGACTTCAGAGTCCAGAGAGGGTGTCGAGTCCCTTTGAGGTGCTGCAGGCATTTGTAAGCAGTCAGATGTGAGTGCTGGGACCCTAAAGTGGGTCCCCTGGGAGAACAGCAGGTGCTTTTAACTGCTGAGTCATTTCTCCAGTCCTATAAAGATACATTTTATCCAGGCAGCACACACCTTTAATCCCAGCACTTGGAAGGCAGAGGCAGGCAGATCTCTGAGTTCGAGGCCACCCTGGTCTACACAGAGAGTTCCAATACATCCAGGAATACACAGAGAAACCCTGTTGAAAAACAAAACAACAACAACGAAACCTTAAAAATAAATATTTAAGGAATTAAATAAGAATGGCTGTTGAGATTCTGGAATATATCAATAGTTCCCCCAAAATGGGAGAAAAGGAATATTGAGATAGGAAACAAATAACTAAAAACCTAGAAGTAGATGGGCTATGTTTTCTGTCGCTGGTCCTCTGATTGCCTCTGTGTGGCCCTCTACAGGATGCTATAAAGCTCTGTCTCTCCATCTATGAGTCCCACTAGATTCACAGGACAGGGACAACGTCCCAACACCCAGTATACCCCCAAGGCCTGGCATATATCCTGTTCTCCCTAGAATCTGAACACAGACTCAACTCTGGTTCTTTCTTTCTTTTTCACTTTATTTATTTTATGTGGATTCATGCTTTGCTAGCTCACGCACCACACCTGTGAGTTACAAACAGTTATGAGCCACCATGTGGGCACCGAGAACTGAACCCAAATCCTCAGGGAGAGCATTCAGTACTCTTAACTGCTCTGATTCTTAAATTGCATCTGGTTGCCACAGTTTCTTCTGTCCTTGGTGCCTAGACAATGGGTGGATTATTTCAACAATGGGGAGTGAGCATGGATTATCTATCTGCCTAATGGAGGCCAGAATGGATTATTTATTTTCTTTTTTAAATATTATTTATTTTAGTGCATTTGTGTTTTGCCATGCATGTTGGGTCCCCTGGAACTGGAATTATAGACAATCGTGAGCATCCATGTGGGTGCTGGGAATTAAACCCGGGTCCTCTGGAAGAATAGTCAGTGCTCTTAACCACTGAGCCATCCCTCCAACCCCCAGGATGGATTATTTCAACAATGGGGAATGAGTGTGGATTATCTGCCTAATAGAGTATCATGAAACCAACACTAATCATGTTTGAAAGTATCAATGACAAATAAAGATATGGGCTTTGCTTTTTAAAATTTCCTTATTTACTGAATAATTAAATATTTCTTTTGTAAAGCAGAAACCAGTATTCTCTGCACTCAAGGCTCAGGTCAAACGCCACCTTCTCTGCTGACTTACCCAGATTTCTCCCACTAGAAGCAACCTTGCCTTGTGTGGATTTTCATGGCATCCAGCTTTCTCCAGTCTCTTAAATTTCTGCCATCGCTGTGAGCACTTCACAGGCAAGACTGCGGCTTCCTACGCGCCAGCCTCTAAGAGGATGTTCCACGATGTTCAGCCAGACTTGAACTCATTTCCCACAGTGCGAGGGGGACTGGGTGGCATGACCTTGGCCAAAATGAGGCAGGGGGAGAGGTGCTTGCTGACAGACTGCCTGGGCCTGACTGTACGGTGTCTGGGTTAGCACAGCTGAGACAGTGTTCATGATCACCATCGTGCACTCAGATGAACAAGGCCATGTTCAGCACGGAGACATCTGAGGTACGAGAACCCAAAGCGGCAACGAACAGCTGGCTTAGAAATGTAGAAACAGCACCGCAGCCTCCCGAATCATCTTTCTGGCTGGCAAAACAATCCTTCTGTCACCCAGCGGCCTGCTGAGAGCGCATCGGTAGCCTAGCATTCCAGGCCCGTGTGAGGGTCTCCTGCCACACACCTCAGTACCCCTCACAGAGGAACACAGAGCCCCAGCATCCTTACTCCCTTGACTAGTTCACTTTGACACGGCACTCAGGGTGGGATGAGACACAAATTGAATCCCGCCAGGTCATTATTTCATTGAAATCGGGATAAAATGATAGGGTTTTTGGGTTTTGTTTCATGTGTAAGGGTGTTTTGCCTTCATGTATGTCTGTGCAATGTATGCTGTGCCCTCCGAGACCAGGAGAGGGCATCAGATCCCCTGGAACTGGAGTTACAGGAGGTTATGAGTTACCATGTAGGTTCTGAGAATGGACCTGGGTCCTCTTGAAGAGCAACCGGTGCTCTTAGCCACTAAGCCAACTCTCCAGTCCTAAAGACAAATTTTGAAAAATTATATTGCTAGCTGAGCGTGGTTGTGCACGCCTTCAATCCCAGCAGAGAGGCAGAGGCAGGCGGATCTTTGTGATTTCGAGGCCAGCCTGGTCTACGAAGTGAGTTCCAGGTCAGTCAGAGCTACATAGTGAGACCCTGTCTTGAAAAAAAAATGTAAACCAGGCTGTGGTGAAACACTCCTTTAATCCCAGTTCTTGAGAGGCAGAGGCGGGCAGATCTCTATGAGTTTGAGGCCAGCCAGAGCTACACACAGAGAAATCCTGTCACGAAACCGCCCCCCACCCCCGCCAGAGAGAGAGAGAGAGAAATGTGGTTTGCAAGTCTCTGGTTCTAGCGCGTGGGAGACAGGCATGTTAGTTCAAGTCTACATAACAAGCTCAAGGACATCCAGGGCTACAGAGAGACACTGTCTCAAAAAAAAATTTTTTTTTTTTGAATATCACCAGAGGAACAGTTAGATGGTGTGTGCCGTCACTGTGACGCTGAGGAAGGACAATCACTTACACGTTCTCCCAATCATGAATGCATAGCACATACACAGTAACAAAGAAACAGCAGACAGACCCAAAAGGAGAAATTGTCTATTCAAACAAAGGAAAGAAAGTCTATGCCACATTAAAAGATACAAGCAAGAAACCACAAAGTATGCTCCACAGCGTTCGTAGACTTGATTTTGTCCTAAAGGGGAGACGCTAATAAAGGTGACTAGAGAGTCAATGACAAACAAGGAGAGCTTGAGCCACCGTCTGACCAGTGAGAAGTTCAGTGAAGCGAGCAAGGCATTAGCAAATAGCCACTGTATTGCAAGTGTAAACAGACATGATGTATGCAGCTTATTCTCAGAGTTCAGACTACAAGGTGTGAGGACACAGTACAGGTAGACGCTGAGGATAAATCAAGTGGAACAAACGCTTACACTGGGAGTTCGCCTTCACTGTACGCAGACTTCGTCTGTACCGCTCTCATGACTTTTCGGTAATTCTGAAATTATTTCCAAGTCAAACTTTAACACCAGCACGGTCTGCAAGGTCTATGACATCCTCCCCACCCAGGCTCAGTCCAGCCCCAAGGACAGCATTACCGCTTCCCAACACAGTAAGCGCCTCCTCCCTTTGAGGGTCTATTATTGCCTTCACATACAACACCCTTCTCCATACTGCGGACCCATATTGGCACTGCCTTGACACACCCCACCCTTATGTCTTAGGCTTTCACAGTACTCTGAACTCTCCACGTATGTCACAGGTTACAGTGTGTGTGCTGTTTGTTTTTGAGACAGAGGCTTATGTAGCCTAGGTTGGCCTCTAACTTGATAAGTTAGCCAAAGGTAACCTTGAACTCCTGATCCTCGTACCTCCACCTCCCAAAGGGCTGGCATTACAGCTGTGTGCCACCATGCAAGGCTAAGAGTTGGTATTCAGGGAGAACTGGATGCCAGTCTATCTTCTCCAGCTGCCTGGAGGCTCCCTGAAGCCAGAGTTGGGTCTGTTCTGCTCACAAGGGTATCTCCTGCACCAACCACTGAAGCTGGCACAGCCGTGGGCACTGAGTAACCAGCTAGGTGATGAGAGGGCAAACGCCACTCTTTAAGTTCAGCTCCAACTGTTGGCAACTCTCAGCCCTGCCCTTAACCTTTAGTCCCAAGAGTTTGATCAAGAGGCGCGGACGTTGAAGGAGCCCTGAATTGACTGCCCACTTGCCAAGTCAGCTTGAAACTGAAGGGCCGGGGTTAAGGAATGGGAACTCACCAGGGACAGGTGGAGGGAATGACGCTGAGTGAGCTGGGAGCCTAGACGCCCAGAAGGCAAGGAGCTGAGTGTGACCCTGTTCGGAGAGGCAGTCTGGCGAATGAGAGCACCCTCAAGGGTTAAAGAAGTCTAGCACCCGGAGGATCCTGACTTAAGGATAAATGAGGAGGAGGAGGAGGAGTGAGAGAGAGAGCAGGAGCCGCTGCTAGGCCAGGAGGGGAGGGCGCTTAGACAGGGCCCTAACTCCATCCTTGGTCGGGATCAGCGGTGTGATGCTGGTGGGTGCAGGAAGCTCAGCGCAGGTGAAAGGCCTGGATCCTGCCCTGATAGAGCATGCGCAAGCATGGCACTAGCCATAACTTTCCCAGCCTCCCATCTCTGATCTGATGAGGGTTTACTGTGTGAAGCTACTACCAGGATCATGGGACGTCGTCTTCGGAGGGCCCTCGGAACTGCTTTGGTCTGCACTTTGCACGATGAAATGTGTACTGGCGGGAGGAGGCTGCTGGCTTCCAGCCAACGGAAACAGTTCCTAAACGTGCACCCAGCCAACCTCTCACCGCTTTCCCACACGATCTTTTCTGCAATTTCGAGTCTTATTTAAAAACCCACTGTGGATACATCCACGGAACACAGTTCTTCGTTCAAAACCTTTAACCAAGAAGAGGATTTTTGTTTAGTTGGTTTTGGTTTTTTTGTTTGTTGTTGCTTTTGTTTTTTTTGTCCTGAGATGCTAGATATGAAATCCATGTCCCTTGCTCATGCTGGGCAAACACTTCTCTCCTTTAGCCCCTCAGCTAGCATCCTTCTTAAAACCGAACCTGTTTTCTCCCTGTCCCCTAGGGTTACGACATATGCACTGGACTGCCCTCTTGACTGGAGCAACCCTCACCGAGGAAGGGCATGCCGCACCCTGTTCTCTGGCTGCCCATAGTGGCCCCTCCCCTTCAGCCCTGCCACACCATCTGGCCAGAAGCATGCCGGTCCCTCTCCTTGGGCATTCTGTTGATATCTGACGGTAACTTCCTATCTCCCCATCTCCAGAGGGAAGACTGACAGGTTACTGTCACCTCACAGCTTAGACAGCGCCCGCAGCATCTCGGCCGCCCTTCATCCTCACAACCGGCCCTGTGAGGTAGATACAGTGGGTAACAACTCTTTAGGCCCACATGGATCAAGCATGTACAGTGTACGCAGTTCATACGTGATCTCACTTAAACTTACCACAGCCCTATGAAATAGATCCGTGTCCCCATTTTACAGAAGGGAAAAATCCAGTGGCTAGAACTTGCCCCAAATCAAAGAGGTAGGAAGCCATTGAAGCTAGGGTTGAACTGCAACCTGCCCGACCCCAAAGCCATGCTGGTAACCTTTCCACAATGTTACCTTATAAAATCAAGAATATTACTTCCTAGATATGAGTCTACCCACTAAATTGAAGCTCAGCGGTAAGTAGTTCAGCCAAGGCCTCACAGCCGGGGACAGGCTGTTCCAACTCCATGGAGTTTCGAAGCCTGGGCTTCAAAAGTACCAGCACACTTGCTCATCATTGCTGCCCTGCCCACAGGACTGTTTCTGTTCAGAATTCCTTGTTGACACTCTTTGGGAAACCTGGGAGGGGTTGTTTTTTGTTTTGCTTTGTTTTAATCTCAAAACCAGTCAGTAAATAAATTGAGAAAAAAAGAGAACATATTGTAACTAGCTGTTCTCTAACAACCAAGCTCAGCAGCCCAGAGGAGTCCTGGCTGGGAGGAACCACTGCATCAGATCAAAGAGCAGGAACGGGCAACACTAACACACGGAGTTTAGGTAGCTATCCTCAGAATCTGGGACCCCGTAACTGGAAGGGAGTTGCTGCTGCCCGGTCCACTCTTCTGTGACCCTGCTCCTGCTGATGGCTCTCACAAGTAAGATAAACATGAATGTGTTCACATGCATACGACAGTTCCTACAAATCCTAAGATGCTCTGAGAAATTATATATTTGTAACTAAGCTTTTGTATCAGCAATTTCAACTCATGATTGTGGCGTACTATAAGTCTAACTGGATCTGTAAACATCTTGTTATTCAGATACTACCCAGTGTCACACACTGACAGTTTCCACCTTTTGAATATTTAAGGCTTAGAGCTCTTTTTTGTTTGTTTTTGTTTTTTGAGATAGGGTTTCTCTGTGTAGCCCTGGCTGTCCTGGAACTAGCTCTGTGGACCAGGCTGGCCTTGAACTCAGAAAGACCCGCCTGCCTCTCCCTTCCTCTACCGGGGATTAAAGTCGTGCGCCACCGCCATGGCCAGCAAGCTACTTTAAACTGCTACTGACTGTGAGCATCTTAGCCTTTAAAGTACAGAGAGTTTGGAAAAATACAAAGGATGATTTTTCTGGATCTCCCCGAAATTCTTAGTTTTCATTTCTAATTCCTGAAAATTAGTATCTGTTGGAAATTTGAAAACTTCTGCCCTTTGGAAATTCATAAGTCTTAACTAAAATCTTTATTTCTTGAAGTTCCCCAGTCACTCAGTAGGATAGCACAAGCCACTTTCCGTGGCTTCTGGGAAGTCTCCACACGGGAGTGGGGCCTGGGACGATCTTCCTGCAGCAGTAGGACTCTAAAGGGGTCACCCAGGGACCCGGGGGCTGAGCTGGAATCTCAGGCCTTACCATATATTTCTATAGCATCTCCATTATGGACACAAAATTCTTTCCTCTCACGGGGCATCTGCTCATTTTATTATTTTTTTTAAAAAATGTCCTGAGTTGGGTGTAGTGTTACGCACCTTGAATCCCAGCACTCAGGAGGCAGAGGCAGGCGGATCTCTGTGAGTTCAAGGCCAGCCTGGCCTAGTGAGTTCCAGGCTGGCAAAGGCTGCATAGTGAGACAGAAAAAAATAAATAAATAAAAAATATTTTAAAAAATGTTAAAAGTCCTATAGAATTTTCCACTGAGAAAAACGGATGCTCCATAAATGAATGCCTTAAACTCACAGCTTCAGCCCCACAGCAAGCCCAGCGTGAGAAGTGGTGTACCAGCAGGGCCTGGGGGTCAGGCAGGGAGCTGTCGGAATGCTGGTTCTGCCACAGGCAGGCTGTGTGACTTAGGGCAAGCTCTTCAACCGCCTGGCTATGTAGTTTCCGTATCTGTAAAATGTAAAAGTAACAGGATCTATGACACTGAAATATTGTATTAAATAGTTCCCACAAATTGCAATCTGTAGTAGAGGAAGCCCTCAATAAGTGGGAGACATTTCCTGGCACGGCAGGCCCAATATGTTGTTAAGTCAGGAGGCAAGAGGTTGATAAAAGCCCTTGGAACCATTCAAATGGCTCATTTGTCATGGGTTTCTCAAAATGGGTCATTTCCAGGTAGGTTTGGCAGGCTCAGGGCTGGACCACAAGTTTCCATCCATCCCTGAACTTGGGTCCTCCAGCAGGAGGTGGTGGCCTGGTCTGAAAGGTCACTAGATCACTCATGTGTACCCCTTGCTTGACAGGCAAAGTTGGCATGTGTCTTCTTGAGCCAAAGGTTAATTGGCAGGCCTAGCGTCCACAGGCCTGTGGAGGGAGGGAGGGGAGGCTGCCAGGTGCTTGCTGGAGCGGTGTGTCTATACACGGGTATACTCCTACACAAGCATGAATTTGGACACCACTCGCAGACTCTGCAAACTAGCACCTAGCACCTACTGCCCAATGCTTCTGACACTGCTCGCTGCTCACCAGGGTAGATCCTGTGGTCCCAAAGGTTGAATGTGCCACCTTGGGGGCCATGCCTGGCCCTTTGGCGGATGACTGCCCCAGTGCTTGAAGCGGTGGCCAAGTCGACCCAGGGTCCATCCTTTTGTATACTCAAGTTGCTTCTAGGCATCACCCAGCGGGGTCCTTAGGCGCTCCTTGTCTGTGACCTGCCCCAAGCCCCACAGTTTTGGACCCACAACAAGCAAGATGGATCCAGATTTAGGGTTGGGGACAAGCGGAGGGCTGGCTGCCTACCTCCAAGTACGCAGAGCAGGCGTCCATCTCTGAAGCGCTCTCCACCCTCAAGTGGTACGAGTGGGTGAGTGGATCTTGGGGCAGCTACAGAAGACCTAAGGGCCTCACCTTGCGGGATGGGCCTGCTCACCTCCCCTTCCCCTGTGGGACCGTCCTGGGCGCCCTCTGGGCCTTGCTCCCACCTCCCGGAGCTCTGGTGTCTGGCACTGTGGAAGCAGACCGGACGTTTGTCCGGAGGCCTCTCCTGGGCAGAAGCCTCCTGAGGGGTTCTGTTTTCAAGCCTTTCTCTTGGAGGGCTCTCCTCGTCATCCTCATTCCAGAGTCCTGCAAGGAGAGAAGAAAACACCGATAGTCGCTCTTCTCCTTACCCTGCACAAGGCCGGAAAGACAACAGGAGAACTAACAGAGAAAGCAGAGAGAGAATACTGTAAACAGCTGGAGTCTGTGTTTGTGTGTGTGCATGTTTGTGTGTGTGCATGTTCATGTGTGCAGGCGCGTGAGGAGGCCAAAAACAGGATCTCTCACTGAACCTGGAGCCCCCAGACCGGGTTAGTATGGCTGATCAGTAAATCCCTGTCTCTACCTGTCCCCACCTCCTCAGCACTTACATACAAACTTGCACCAACAGTCTGGTTTAAAAAAAAAAAAAGCCAGGCGTGGTTGTGCTTGCCTGTAATCTCAGTACTTGGGGCGCAGAGGCAGGTGGATCTCTGTGAGTTCAAGGCCAGCCTGGTCTACAGAGTGAGTTCCAGAACAGCCAAGCTACACTGAGAGTTCCTGTCTCAAAAGTAAAGCAAACATCATCATCATCATCATCATCATAAATATCACTTATTTGTTTTGTGTGAATGGAAGGGAGTGAAGGCACATGTGTGAAAGTCAGACGACAACGAGATGAAGGGTGTCTCCTCCCACCACAAGAATCCCAGGGCATCCTACCAACTAAACCTACGTTCTGTATTCTGAGAGAAGACAGGAGTGGAAGGACAGCCTGGTTAGGGATGTGAAGGAGCGGTTTCTGCAATCAGACACTCTGGGTTGAGTCTTAGGCCCAGCACTTCTCACTCTGCAATCCTGAACAGCGGCGCACATTTGTCCAGTCTCGGCTTGCTCAGCCGTAAGATGGGAGGAATGGAAGCAGCCGCAGTGTGGAGGGCGAGTCCACAGATCTTCAGGAAGGCAGAGAGCGGTTACCTTAAAACATTTTCCACCCGTCAACCTTAGCAGTCCTGTTCCCTCCCCTCAACCAACACCACTAATACTATCTATTAGAAGTCAGCAGGAGCCGAGAGCGCGTAGCTGATTCAGTTCCTTGAGACGGAAAAAATACAGATGTGTCTGCAGCATCCTGCTGACACCAGAAAGCGGAAGCATTTCAAGGATGCTCGGCGCAATGACACAAAGATGAAGATGATCATTAATCATGGTCACTGTCCAAGCTGTAACAACTTGAAAACCCTAAAGTTCTCAACCCGGGAAGCTTAAAAATAATTACTGAAAAAAATTACTGAGCTCCAAATCCTAAAAGAACAGTCCTGGGTTCAATAAGGGACCTCATCCAGATGACTTCAAGAGCATCCAGGGCCGAGGATGTCGCCCATGGCAGAGTGCTTGACTGACATTTCTGATGCTCAGTTCCATCCCCAGCCCTGCCAGAAAAAGAAAGAACTAAAGTTCAATAAGAAAATCAAACACCCTAATGAAAAATGGCAAAAGGCAGGGCTGGAGAGGTAAGAGCACTGACTGCTCTTCCAGAGGACCCAGGTTCAATTCCCAGCACCCACGTGACAGCAGAACTGTCTGCAATTCCAGTTCCAGAGGACCCGACACCCATGGCAAAACAATCGACACATATAAGCAAAAATAAACTTTAAAAAAGTGGCAAAAGGCTTATATGATGTCCTCAAAAGCATAGGAGGCCAGGCATGGTGGCACACGCCTTTGATCCCAGCACTCAGAAGGCAGAGGTAGGCGGTTCTTCTTCGTGATCTCAAGGACAGTCTGGTCTACAGAGTGAGTTTCAGGACAGCCAGGGCTACACAGAGAAACCCTGTCTTGAGAGGAAAAAAAAAAAAAACTAAAAAGAAAAAAATTATAAATTTAAAAAATCTTTTCAAATTATAATATTAATGATGATGAGAAGAGATATTACTTAGTGGCTATGAATCACTAACTAGTAAAATTCAGTGGTAAGTTCTCAGGATTCCATATGCTATATCACCTTTGGTGTGTTTGAAGTTTTGTCTTTAAGATAAGTCTTATATATTCCAGGCCAACCATAATACACTCTGTAGCTAAGGATGACCTTGAACTCCTGACTGTCTTGCCTCTACCTCCCAAGTGCTAGAACGAAGACCTTCACTTGGGGTTACAAAACTTTTTTAAAGAAAAGACCTTACTATCTCTCCTTCTAGAATTAAAGGTATGTGCCACCACGCCCAGTTTCTAAAACTTGCAAAATATTTTCGTGTGTGTGTGTGTGTGTGTGTGCATACCATGTGCCTGTTGGGCCCGAAGACAGTGTAGGATCCCTTGGAACTGGAATCATAGGCTTTGAAGCACCTTACGTGGGTGCTGGGAACCAAACTCAGGTCCTCTTGCAGACCAGCATGCTCAACCACCGAGTCAACGCTCTGGCCTCACAAGACAGTTGTTTAAAAAGCATACAAAATAGGGAGTTTAGAGCACGTCTTCTCTTGCAGAAGACCTGGGGTTCAACACCCAGACCCACATGGTGGCTCACAACCATCTGTAACTCCAGTTCCAAGGGACCCCACCTGCTCTGGTGTCTGTGCAAATCAGGAATGAACACGGTGCACTTACTATATATAAAGACAGAACATTCATACATATCAATAAAAAAATCTTTTAAAAAACATACAAAATAGGCTAGGCATGGTGGCACATGCCTTTAATCACAGTGCTCTGAGAGGCAGGCACAGGTGGATCTTTGCAGTTCCAGATCAGTCAAGGCCACAGAGTGAGACCACGTCTCAGGATAACAAAACATAGATCCGTGCACCAACTGAGGAGCTGGCTGGGGTCTCTAGAGACTGTAACAGACTGTGTTCTGTGCTGGGTCTTCCTCCGTATTTTCTTCTGTGCTTGTCTGTACCTCAGGTCTATCAAGGTCTGGGGCAAGTGACCTTCCTTAGCGTTGCAGCAGCATTCTGAAGATGTGCTCCCACCCACAGAGTTCTATCCCCTGGGTCAAAGCTGCTGTCTAAGAAACACCGCAAAGAGAGTTCAAAAGTGTAATCAAGGTGCCATTTTAAATCCTGGCATCAAATTTTTACATCAGGTGTCACGGAGGTGGAGGGTCCCCTCGCTGCTGCCCAACTTACATTGGCCAAAAGCTGCTATGCAGGCTGCTGAGGGGTAAACACTGCCAAGTCTCACCCAGCACTGAACCCTGCAGGCTACAATGCCATCCTGCCTAGCAGTGTGTGCCCACTGGCGCCATTGTGGCATGACTGCAGTGGTAACTGAGCATGATCTGACTGGCCATTAGGCCTGCTCTGCAGGAGCAGTTCCCAGCTGGTCAAAAGCCCACTGCTAGGGCGATCGCAGGCTTTGGGGATGGGGCACACCTGCTGTTGTTTTGCTAAATGGACTTGCCACTGCATCATACAAACTGCACTGTAAATATTTATGTTTATATCCAGACATTTCTGGTGCTCTCTTGCTCTTAACTTTGGTCATAGAAGCTTCTGTTTGTAGTAGTGGTAATGGTTAAGGCAGAGACACAACTGGTCAGAGTACAGAGTATAAGTTCCTGTGAGTGTGTAGCTGAGAATAAATCATTTGTATCAATTTCCACCAAAACCTCAAGAACCACTGTGGGGTGGGGTAAACGCAAGCACTCCCTGATGGAGGGAGAGCTAGGAAATGCTGGCGTCTGGTCATAGCATGGGTGATGCGCACGTGAACGCACACCAGGTAACTACCTGCACAAGATCAAGCCAATAAAATCCCAGCACCGGGGGCAGGGCGTGCACCAGCATGGTGCCTCCAGCATGGTGCCAGGGGGTGGGGCGTGCTCCAGCATGGTGCCTCCAGCATGGTGCCAAGGGGGCGGGGTATGCTCCAGCATGGTGCCAGGGGGCAGGGCGTGCTCCAGCATGGTGCCAGGGGGCAGGGCGTGCTCCAGCATGGTGCTAGGGGGTGGGGCATGCTCCAGCATGGTACTGGGGGTGGGGCGTGCTTCAGTAAGGTGCGGGGAGGAGGGGGGGTAGGGGAAGGAGGAGGTGGCGGGGAAGCACACACCTTTAATCCCAGCAGATTGGGAGGGAGGCAGAGGTAGGTGAGGTTGATCTCTGAGGTCCAGGTCAGCCTGGACTACAGAGTGAGTTCCAGGACAGCCAGGGCTACAGAAAAACTGTCTCAAAACCAGTAAATAAAAAGATAAGTACAATTCCAGCGTGGCTGGGGGAGGTGGACAAACTATTGGCAGTTCATGGCTGTTAAGGGACAGTTGTTCTCTGAGGACATGGCTGCCAGTGAATGGTCACACCCATGTGTGTATGGGCAGCACTAATTGGACTCAGGGTCGTTAGTAAGAAAATAAATAAGGAAATGAAGTTGGAGGGTTATGGGTGGGGCACAAGGAGGAGCCGGGGGAGTCGGTGGGGGTGGGGTGACTTATGACCGACACACACTGCATATTTGCATGAAACAGGCTTATCCCTTGAGCTCAGGACTTGGGTGCCGACTTAAACAACATAACAAGACCCTGCCTCAAAAACCAAACAACTGAGGCTAGAGAGATGGCTCTGAAGTTAAGAACATTTTCTTCAGAAACTTGAAGACCAGAGAATGCAATTTTCAAAGGGTACACACACACACACACACACACACAGACACACACAAGCCTGCCTCTGCTTCTGGAGCGCTGGGATTTAAGGTGTGCCCTCCAGGGCTGGAGAGAGGACTCAGTGGTTGGGAGCACTGACGGATCTTCCAGAGGACCTGGGTTCAATTCTTAGCACCCACATGGCAACTCAACTCACAGCTTGTAGAAGGCCGCAACCACACTCTCCACCATAGATGGCGCTGCACCGCCAGGTGAGCTAGAAAGCTCACACATGTTGGTATTTTTCCACTACTCCCAAGGTATCACCTGGGACTGGGAGCAGTTGACCAATCAAAGAATGACACGTCCAAAGCAGGGTCTGTTTCCTATATAAGGGATGGGTTCCATCTTATCTATGTCTCCGCCATGTGGCTTATGCTCTAGCTCCCAAGAGACATAAAGCTTTACTGCAGAAGTATCCTATATGTACCGCATGGTTCTTGCTGGCGAGACGGAAGCGCGGGACAACAGC